AAGGAATCTTTGGGACACATATGTCGGGGCATGTCATGGTAAACAAAATCCTTAGGGCAAGATACTTTTGGTCCACAATGGAAGGTGATTGCTATCAATATGCCAAGAAGTGTCACAAGTGCCAAGTCCACGCCGACAATGTTCATGTCCCACCGACGCCTCTCAACATTTTGACTACACCATGGTCATTCAATATGTGGGACATGGATGTTATCGAACCTAAAGCGTCTAATAGTCATTCAAGAAGATTCGCCACTGATACTGAGTATATATATATATATATATATATATATATATATATATATATATATATATATATATATATATATATATTTTGCATATAAGATGATATTCTAATTATGTTTATATGAATTTTGTTTATGAGAATGATGATTCGAACTATGATCATGTTATTGGTGACAAAAACATTAAGAAAATATTTTTTTATTAAAAAATAATATTTCATCTAATAAAAATTTTCATATTATTGAATTATTTGAATAAAAAAGATTAATTTTATTCAAATGTTTTAAAATTATATTTAAGAAGTTATAAAAATACAAGTTATTTATACGTAGATGCATGTTACTAGATCATGGAATAATCAATTATAAATAAAGGGATAACATTATAATTTTATGACAATTTGTGAACTACTATATTATCAAATCATTATATATGAAAACATGCATCATCCTCAATTAAAAGAAATATATGTTAAACAAAATATAGTAAAATATAGTTCTTTAAAAAAAAATTGTGATTTAAAAGGTTTGTTTATCAGAAACTTAATACATCTATTTACAAAATCTTCTTTGTGAAAGAGAACTTTTTGGTTCACAAGATTGGTTTTCATTATTTCAATGATAATAGTTTATATGAAAGGGATAACATATTTTGAAGATATATTGAACAATGATATACTATTTTTCCTTTACTAGGTTTTTATCCCATAGGGTTTTTGTTAATAAGAATTTAATGAGACATTCTTCAATCATTAGATATCTAAGAAAAAATATTATGAATCATTATTGACTTGTCTATTGACTTTATTAATCTTTATTATTATTTATATGATTTAAATATGGTACCTTATATTTTATTTAGTGAAATATAACTATATGAATATATTATTTTTCTTTCTTCTTTATTTATATATATATATATATATATATATATATGGATCTTATTTTATAAAAATTAAAAATTTTGAGAGTTATTTATTTAAATTTAAACTTATTAAGATTCAATAATATACAAGGTTTAACCGATTTATTGACATGTTACATCAATTATAACATTATATACAGATAATTTGCAGAATTAAAAAAAATACATATGTAATTGAAATATATTTTACTATATATTTTCAAATAAAAAATATAATATAATATATTATACTATACTATATTATATTATATAATCTTATATAATATTATATTATATAATCTTATATAATATAATATAATATAATATAATATTATATTATATTATTTAGAAATACTATTAATTATTGATAAAAATTATACTTTCAAAAAATATTTTAAAACATTAAGTTGAGTTGGAATGTAATTGAGTAAAAGTGTAAATTAAAATTATTTTTAAAATAAATAAAATTCAAATTCTAAAATTGAAATGTCAAAATTAAATTTAGATGAAGCAAAATTAGTGGAACATAAAGACATGTAACTCAGGCTTGGTAATTCAAAATTGGGAGGTTAATCTAACCAGTTGATAAGGATTAGAATGTATAATCACATAGAGTATATATGATTCAATCAAAGTTAAAGATTATTATTTTAGTTTTAAGTTTAAAAACATTATGATTTTTCATGATTTGTTTCTTATTTACAAAAGGACCCTATTTATTTTTAATGAATTTGATTTTTCTAAAGTGGAATAAAGTAAATAATATTTATTTTTATAATTTATTATATTTGTAAAACTAATATTAATCATTATTTTGTTCTTTAAAATACCATTTCCCATTTTTTAAAAAATTAAATAATTATTAATCTAAGTAAGACGTTATTTATGGTTAATTATTGTTTGTGTAAAATATTCATTCATTTTATTAAGAAAATATGATTAAGACATTATTATGATTTATATATTTAAAGTATAGTAAATATATGAGAGAAAAAAAATTATATGGAGAAAGGAAACCTAGAGAAAATGTAATCACATTTACACTTAAAAGATATTAGTAACAATAAAATATTAAGTATATTATGAAAAATTTTATCATTTTATATTAATTAGGAATTGCATAAGAATAAAAATAAAAATAATATTTTTATATAACATTTCTTTTTAATATATTATAATAAATAACTCTAAAAGAAAACATATAGTTTTTTTTTTCATTATTTGTCTTCAAAAATACAAATCCTATTTGCCATATTCTGAAGAAATTCGTAACACATTTATTTTAAATTATAGTATAAAAATATATAAGCATTAAACTAAATTAATCATTTTTTAATAGAAATATAATATCAAAATTAAATTTTTGGATGAAAAAGTAAAAATAATCTATTTAATTAATTTATTTATATTAAGTAATAAATATATTACTTAATTAGATTGCACGTAAAATAATTCTACTATTTTAATTTAAATATTTTTTTCTATTAATTGACATTTAATCTAAAAAGAAACTATAAACAAAACAATTATAAAACAGCAAAACTTGCCGTAATTAAAACCAAACATAAATCTAGCAATTCATATAATTAAAACATTTAAATCAATAACTATATAGCAATTTATATACTGAAAACATATTTAAATCAATAATTATGTAGCAATTCCTAAATTAAATGGTATTCAAAACATTAATTGAATTAATATATAGATCTCGTCAAACTTATTAAAAGAGAAGTGTGTTTTCCTTATATTTTTTACCGATTTACTCTGTTATATTTTGAACTTTCTTTGACCAATAACATTATCATTTCTCTCAAATTACACTCAGTTTCTTATTTCATATCCATTTTCCATTTTGAATACCGACTAAACTATCAAAAGGGCTGTACGGTCCTGTTAGACCTGATCCTATAAATAATAATAATAATAATAATAATAATAATAATCCAATCTTATTTATATTTTAAATTACAAATCCTAAATCCTATATTTTAAAACAATCATAAATTTTAATATAGTTGGACTCTATTTAAGCTAATGAGTTATTTTTTTACATTGAAAATAAAAAAAAAATTATAACATGTAACTATAAAAGTAATTTATCGAAAAAAATTTTAAATAAAAGATTAAAATAAAAAATATTTAAATAAAATATTAAAAATAAAAAATATTTTTAAATTTAAATTATTTTAATAAAATTAATTTTAATTTTAAATATAATAATTTGATGTATATAAATTATAAAAAACGATTTATTTATTTTATTAAGAGTTAAAAACTTATTTATTATTTTTACTATTAAACTACAAGAAAATCAATAGTAAAAATAAAAAATAAATCTTTTATTGCTATTCTTAAATATAAGTGAATTATTTTTTAAATTGAGAAAGATTCATTTATTAACTTACTTTTTTTAATAATTATTCATTTTTAATAATAATAAAAAATTAAACTAATAATTTATCTTACTATATTAAAAAGAGTTAATGATAAAAAAATAAAAAATAATTTTTTAACCTCTACTTTTATTCATAAAATAAATTGATCCTTAGTAAATAATTATAATAAATAAACATATATTTTTTAATAAAATAATATTTTAATATATTTAAAAATAATTATTATTTTATAAAATTAATCTACGGTGAGTAAATTTTAGGCTAACCTAACAAATTTTTGGTAACGGTTAAGTTTATTTAAGTCACAAAATAAATCAAGCTAATTTACCTTTCACAATTTATTTGAATTAACTTAACTTATTCCCGAGCCCATCAAATTAAACATAGTTTGATACCAAGATTACTTAAATAAAAAACAAAAACCAAAAATATAAAAACAAACAAATTAAGAAAAACCTATAATAATATTTTGTATTCTAATAAATTTACTAATTCTATAATTAGTCCTTTTAACTTTTTCCCTTTTACAATTTTTTATCCCTAATAAATTACTAAGTTAGTTCTCATAATTCACCCTATCATTAAATTATATTATCTCAATATTGATTCACTGTTAACTTTTCATGAATCGATTTAATATTTTCTATGAATATTTTGTTTGCAATAATATTTTATTTTGATAAATAATATCTATTATAATATATATATATATATATATATATATATATATATATATTCCTTAATTTAAAAAATCCTATAATTCATTAAAGAAAAAAAATATCAACACTAAAATAAATAACTTAATAATATAAACCAAATATGAATATATATATATATATATATATATATATATATATATATATATATATATATATATATATAACAAGATAAAAGAAAATTGAAAGAACAAACATAAAAATTAATAAGTATATCTAAAAAAAGCATTTAAGCCCTAAAAAGTATTGTAATAATTTGAAAGAGCTAAGATTGAATTGAAAGAGAAAAAAAAAAAAAAAAAAGACAAAAGTACAGATGCAATTTAAGGTATAAAAGATCAGAAAACCTCATTGGAGAAGCAAATAATTAAACTAAGGAGAGGGTAAATGAAACAAGAATTTATTTTGAGAAGTCAGGAGGTGCATGTTTGGTATGAATGTCTGTCTGTCTGTCTGGTCTACTAGATGTGGATAGTGAAGGTATTTACACAATTGCAATGTTAAAAAAAGAAATGGAATTAAAATAGATTGCGTTGGTTGGTTCATCTAAGTTCGCCTCCACCATTGCAGTAATGGATGCCATTGGTGCGTAGATTAGGGGGGTACTTTACATTGAGGCGCTTTAGGCCCCATATCCGAATTGTTCTATCATCACTGGCCAAGGCTAACATGTGAGGATTTGCTGGGTTCCAGCTCACACAGTTAACAGCTCCAGAATGACCAGGCAATGCCTCTACTAGATCCCCGAGTTTCTGTGCCATATGTAAACCTACAACACAAACTATCATTAATAAACTCCATTTCCAATATATATGGAAAAGGAAAATCACGGGGCTTTTAAATTAATACCTGTGAATCCTCACTACCACTAGCAATAAAAGATTGCTTAAGACCACCAAAGCAAGATCTGACAATAAACCGGGTGCGTTTATGACTTCTGTACCTGCCAACAAGTTTAGGATCACCTTCTATATTCCACAGGTGTATTTCTTGGTTCAAAAGATTAGCCAACAAGAATCTGCTATCCTTTGACAAAGAGAAGGAAGTTATTGTCTGTTCTTCTTCAATAAATCTCTCTTCTTTCGTTTCTTTGTTGAAGAACAGTATTGCATTGTCTTTACAAATACTCAGAACGTGTTCCCCATCACCTGTTATTTCCAAGTCAGAAATCTTGAGAGTTCTCTGTCCTTTCCAACACTCCACTTCTTTCCCATCTAAATCCCACATGCAAATGCTCTTGTCACTGAGGCCAGAAAGTATATATTTCCCACTTGGAAACCATGCACACGAGACGAGACCAGGACCATTTTTTTCATAAACTTGCAGGCATTTACCGGTAGAGACATCCCACCGCCTAACAGCCTCTTCCACACCACATGTGAGGAGCTCTTGGTCATTAGGACTCCATGAAACAGAAGAAACAGATTTCAGGTGACCAGACAATTTATGCTTCATAGACAGTCCACCATTCATGTCAACCTATTAAAACAAAAGGCAAAAAGAAAAAATGTGAAACCTAATGCACAGCTTTAAGTACATTTTCATCGTGTGTGCTTGCACTGGCCAACACATGCTATATTAACATGCAAAGAAGCACCTCAAATGATAATTCCTATCAACAACCTTTCACAGAGTCAAGTAATGGAAGAGTCTCCTTCATTAAGTTCGTAAAAACAGTTGCTGAACTTCCAAGAGTGTGCTAGGACATATTTAGGACAAAGGAGTGCAAAGTGTCAGTGGTATATTACTTCAATAATTGTTTTAATTATCGAAAACAATACTTTGACAACCGAAAACAAACAACCGTTAGAAAACCGGGGCTAAAAAGAAATTAATTAAAAATAAGGGTTTGATTAGTAAAATTGTAGAGGGGTAGAGATGTAATATTGTAAAAATGGGGGATGTTATGGTAAAAAGTGAAATATATGTTTTGAAGAAGTTACAGTGTTTATCGCTTTTCACATTCGCGCTCGACTTCTTCTCACTGGACTTAGGGTAAAATTTCTCCGTCTCGCTCTTCACGGCGCTCGACTTCCTGTCGCTTGGCTTCGTCCGTGTCGTTGGAGCTGAACATCACTGTCTGTTGCTTGAGCGACCCTGCGGTTGTGAGTGTTCGTTTAACAACATTTGCTTGATTTTGTGTGTATTTTTGATTGGGTTTCCATTGTTGTTTTCTTTTCTGTTTATCTTTGATTGGGTTTGTAATGAAGGTGTTTTTCACGGTTTAGGGTTTATTGAGTTGTGATGCAATATTAATGTCGAACAAGTGTTTGATGAAATGCTATAATGAAGAATTGTATTTGCGCATTCTTGCTTTGTTTTCTGTTTATCTTTGATTGGGTTTGTAATGAAAGTATTATGTAGGGTTTAGGGTTAATTGAGTTGTGATGCTATATTAATGTCCAACAAGTGTTTGATGAAATGCTACAATGAAGAATTGTATTTGCATGACAAACATTTTGTATAATATGCACAAGATTTACACCCACGTTTCAATCCTTTGTTTGCGGTATGTTTATTGTGCATTTAAAAAGTTAAGTTGCACATAGGTTTATTATCATTGATTGTCATTTATTTTTGTGCCTTTTGATAGACACAAGTGATTGAACAAATGTATATTCGCAAAGGGAACACATCGACGTGGACAATGAAAGACTTCTCACACTACTAGAAAAATGTCAAATAGTAACCGAAATCAGTGACCGAAAAATTTAGTTACTATCAGTGACCGAATCAGTAACCAAATTATTATTTTTTAGTCTAGTAACCGAAATAGTAACCGAATTTTCGGTCACAAAAAATCGGTTACTATTTCAGTCACTTTATTATTTAATTTATTTTTTTAATTAATCTATATTTAATTTATGTAATTATTTACTACAAAAATGGTTAATAGTGACTCGAAATTAGTGACTGATTTTTTTTATATTTAGTAACTGATTTAGTGACTAAAATTTCGAGTCACTAAAAAAATAATTTTTAAACTGATTACTATTTTTCATTTATATAAATATTTTATTTAAAATATTTTAAATATAAATTTACTTAATGATTTAAAATAATTGATAACATTTTTAATAAAATTATAAATATTTAAAAAAATTGTTTAC